TCCCATTTCACAGAGAGGGAAACTGGGACTCAGAGGGGTTAAGCCGGCGAGAGGCTGAATTGGAATTCAGGCCAGGGCGGTGAGGCTCTGAAGCCTGTCTTCTCTCCTCTCCACTCTGCTGCCTTAGAAGATTGAGAGGGCACTGCCAATTTAAATGGTTTGCAGATCTGAGGAGCCCCGGGCCACATGCTGGGTGGGCGGAATGGGGTTCCAGGAGGCTGGATTAAGCTGTCCAGTGTGAGTGACAACAGGCACCCAGCCTGCCCTCCGTGCCTCTGTGGGATTTGGTGCGGAGTCACTGGTCTTCAGTAACCAAGGCTACAGTCTTCATGGGCGCTTGAACCACGAGCTCACCAAGCTGAAGGCAAGGTTTACAGAGGTGTGATAGAGGCAGGAGCCTCACTGTGTGGACCTGACATGTCAGACGCCTTGCGTGTATCCGCTCCAGGGTACCAAGGAACCAGGGGGCCCATCTTCCCAGACACAGAGCAAAGTGTGACGTCCTGGCATCACCACACCTCCTATCCCTGACTTAAACACACACCTAGAGCTGGGAGAGGCCCTGCGGTCACCGAGTCCACACCCTGCCTCTTGGCAGGGCGATACTTGGGTTGCTCTGGACCGGCTGGCACCAGGCCTGTGCTGTCCTGCAGATTCTTCCAGATGGAGTCCCGGAGCCCCAAGGAGATTGAGCATCCTCAGTCCCGCTCTTATTCTGGAAACAGCCTCATGTTCCCAGCACACCTCTCACACACTTCACTCTGGACAGAAGAAGGACATGGGATCTTTTCCCCAGCAGTCTCACCCGACAGCATCCATCCCTGCTGCTGTGGCCCCAGTCCTGCTCTCTGGAGTTTAATGAGGGCGGAACGTCTAATGCGCCTGGACTTCTAAGTCCTTCCTACTTCCTTCTAAGACTCTTAACCCAGGTCTCGACTGGAGACCTCTGGATGGAATGCGAGGCTCACGGAACCCTGAGATCATATTCGGAAGTTGGCGTGCTTGCCGTGGACCAAGGAGCCATAGCTTCCATCAGTTGTCAAAGGGGCCATGTTCCAAGGCTTCAGAGCCCCTGGGTGCCTGGCTACAATGACCTGTCCCATCCGATGGTGTCCCTGTACTGGGCACCGTGCTGAAGGGCAGGACTCTGGAGCCAGGCTGCCTGACTTTGAATCATGACTCTATCTCTTATTGGTGATTTTGGGCAGGTTTCGTAACCTCTCTCAGTTTCCTTATCTATAAAACAGGGTACCTGCCCTCATGGGGTTGTTGTGAAGATTAAATGAGTTAATCCACATAAAGTTCTTCGTCTGTGCTAAAGTATTACTTCTCCCCATCACCCTGTGAAGTCAAGTCAGGGGTGATCCTCACCCCTCTTCTGATGAAGAACAGTGGAGACTGTAACTGAGGAACAGAGCCTCTGCCTGCAAATGCAGCAGGTCCCGTCGGCTAGCCAGCGAGGTCACTGCAGAGAGGAAGTTGGCCTGTGACGCTCTCAGGGGTGGGAGGGCTCCATTTAGGGAAGCTGGGAAATAAACTGGATCTGCCAACAGTTTCAGTCACAGGACACAGGAGGCTGGAGGGGGCTTTAGGTATGAGTCAGAAGCCACACAGCCGAATGGGCCTGACACCCTGGCCTGTGAGCAGCTCCATGATGGCCTCCTTGAGGCCACCCTATCTAATCTGATTTCCAGAGAAACAAGAGCCACGGTTTATCCAGCACTATGAGCCGAGCATGTTAACACGTGACCTTAATCCATTCAATCCCACTATGAGGAAGTAGCATTATCCCCAATTTATCGGTGCCAAAACTAAGATTCAGACATAGCTGCTAAGTGGCAGAACCGCGATTCAAAGCGGGTCTGTCTGACTCCAGGACTCCAGCTCCTCAAGATTTTGACAGTAGCAATTCGCATCAGAATCGCCAGAGCACTTGAGAGACTGCAGACTGCTGCACCCGCCTGCAGGGATTCCCATTCCACAGGTCTGGGGTGGGGCACGAGAAGGCGCGTTTTTTAACAAGTTCCCAGGCGGTGCTGATGCTGCCGGTCTAGGAACCCCACTTGGAGAACCAAAGGTGCTGGACCACCAGAGACGGATGAGGGGCTGTCTGGAGCTGATGACCTGGCCTGAGCAAAGAGAGAGCAAGGGCTCCGTCTGCTCCCGTTCCAGTCGGGGGCTCAGGACTGGAAGGTCTTTAAAGTAGCAAACGCATTGTGGATGCTCGCACATCATTCCTTAAGCTGATCACGGATCGGGGCAGAGACTGTGTTTAAGTGCCAAGCTCATCTTCTCCACCAGCCCCCAAGGTTGGCGCCCCGTGGCTTTACTCCTCAGTTGCATCTTTCCCACCTGCTCCCTTCACCATCAGTATTCAGGAGGGAGGAGGGAGTGAGAAAGGGTAGGGCCTGAGGGCTGAGTCAGCCCCAGCCCACTGCTTGGAGTTGCAAGTCGGGGGGGGGGGGGGGGGGGGTGCAGGGCCGCCTCCTGCTAGGGGTGCGGTCACGCCTCCTACCTGTTCTCGGGCACCCATTAGCTGCTGAGGTGGTATTAACTGTTTTTCATTTTGCTGAGTCTTTGCTGAGACTCAAAAAGGGAAATGAGCCATTACCAGACAGCAGCCTTTTTTGAAACAGAAACTGAATTGACTGCATTTTCTAATAACATTTTGTGAACTAAGAACGCAGAAGTCTTGCCTTGCTTCATCAAAGTCGTCTTTCAGAAGTAGTTGTCTCTGGCTCGCCTTCTGCTCACACAGTTCTGTGAGAAGGGGTGGGAAGGGTCATATGCCAAAACGTGCCAGCCTGTTAGTGCCACACCAGCTGGTATTTAATGGCTGGTCCATAGCCTATTGTGAGGATGTCAGGAAATTCCCCTTTCCTTGCTTTTTGCGGCTCCAGACCTTTGGGCTCTGCCCTGACGGGTAAGGACTAACCAGCTCAATTCTTGAAATAGAGAGCCAGTGTGCAGAACTCACAATCAGGGCACTTTGGGCAAGTCACTAACCTCCCTGAGCCTTAGTGTGCTTACCTGCAAAATGGGGATATTAATCTTGCATATCTCAAAATCCTGATCAGGGCAGAGTGCCCTGTAAACTGCAAAGGGTATACAAGATATTAGCTCTTGTTGTTATTATTAAACTACCTGTAGGTCCATTTGTAACCCCATTCCATGGGGCAAGGAATCTGCAGATCTAAGGGGACATGACAGCCTGGAGGTCACACCTCTTCCCCCTTCTGGACCATCCTCTGGGTACCCAGGATCCCTTGCCTCAATGGGCTCAAACTGCAACCAGGACCTGGGCAGGCTCTTTCCTAGGTCCATCCCCCCAAGGGCAGACTGCTCGAGGAACTTCTAGATTCAAGGGATGGCTGTGTGCAAGTGGTACTGAGTTGGGACATATGGGTTGGGGTAGCCACATTGTGCATAGGAGACTTCTCCAGGTGTGGGACAGAGCCATGACATTCCAGAGTCAGAGAATTCCAGATTCAAACCTTCTGGTTGTTATAACGGTGTATGTGTCAAGGTAGGAGGGAGAATATATTGTATTTAAGTTTGCTACCTGATTTATAACTAATGTATTGAGACACATGGTATATGGGCCTCCATTGGTAGTCTTGCCCCGGGCCCACAGATGTTCCTTTTTATTACTAGAAGTTTGAATTCCACTTCCTTTGAGCCAGGTCAACCTCTTATTTTCCTCATCGAGTCTATCCTCCTATTTCCTCTTCTCTGTCTTTCTAAATATTCAAAGCCGTGCCTTATTAGAAATGTAGCCAGGACTAGTAGAAATTCGTCAAGATTCCAGGGGCTCCCTTTCTTCTCTTCCTTAAACCATTTCTCACCCCCTAGAGACACACAGGACAGACCATGGGCAGGAACATGAGTCCCCTCGTCGATGGCTGGCCTCCTTTTTGTCTCCTAAGCAGTATCTAGACAGTGGGTGTCTGTACCACTTCAGGGTATGAAGATAGAGCTCCATGCCGCTGCCACTATGGTAACCGCTAAACCATGGGGACTAGACGATTCTAAAAAAAGCCATGGGCTCCATCCTGGGGGTGGGGGAGGCCCAAGAAGCCTAGAATTTTGTACAAGGAGCAACTATAGGAAGAGGGGTCCTGCCTGGTCCTCCTGCATCTCCATCCTGGAAGGGTGCAGGTCCTCAGGTGACAGAAGGGGTGAAAGTTGGTTGCTGAGAGGTAGCAGCCGACAACTGCACGCCATGAGTTGAGGCCCCATCAGGTTCCCCTACCTCTTCCTTGGCTTGCTGTTGCTGGTGTCATTATCCACGTTTTGCTCCATATAAAACCCTTTCCCAGTGTCCCCTTTCCTATTCAGATACCCTTTGGCAATGCAGAGACTCTGATGCGGAAGTAGTTGGTTGCTCTGACAGGAAGAGTTGCTCTTTCCCCCTTGCCCTCTGTGGTCCTGGGAAGATGCAGACAGTAGTCAGACAGCCTTTGGTGCACATCAACTTCTGCTGAACGGCTGTTTATCTCACCTGTGCCTAAGATGGCTATATGTAGAGGAGGAAGGGCGAGGGGAGACAAGGCTTGCAGTGGACCCACTAGGGGCTATCTCCTGCTGCCCACCTGCCCCACAGACCCTGAGAGAATCAGCCCAAATGCTGGCTATTAGACAACTCCAAGGACTCCACTGTTTTTCCAAGTGTTGAGAGTGAACTATTGGTACTGTGCTGGGTGAATTTAGGTGCCATCCAGCAGAGCATTCAACAACACAGAATCTCAGCACGGGGAAGTTCTTCCCTTTTCAGTTCTTTCAATCCTAATTATCCATAGGAGGAACTTGCAGTTTAATTTGTGAGTATCTTCAACACCTCGCTAAAACTTGCTCTTCTTCCTTTTTTTTTTTTTTTTGCGGTATGCGGGCCTCTCACTGTTGTGGCCTCTCCCGTTGCAGACCACAGCCTCCGGACACGCAGGCTCAGCGGCCATGGCTCACGGGCCCAGCCACTCCGCAGCATGTGGGATCTTCCCAGACCGGGGCACGAACCCGTGTCCCCTGCATCGGCAGGCGGACTCTCAACCACTGCGCCACCAGGGAAGCCCTCTTCTTCCTTTTTAACAAAATGAGATCAGGCCTCAGTTCAAGGTCTTGCCTACTAGAATTGAGAACAATGGTTTGTTTTTATTTGTATTTCTACTTAGAGCTTCGTACCTTCTATTTATGACAGGTGATTATTGGTTTTCCAGTGAAGTAAAGATACACAGTTTGCTTTTTAAAGTAAATTTAAAGCAGCTGAGTTAACGAGTATCAAATTTAAAAGATACAGGTAGTATTTGGATATGGCAAACATCATTCAATTTTATTATTTTAAAGGCAGGGAAATTGAGACCCAGGCACGAGTCCCCAGAACCCAGGATGGGTAAGTGTCTCTAACATTTAGGAAGGACACAGCATCTATCTTCCCTGAAAACCATAGACTGTGTTCTGCTTGAAGGTCACAGGCTAGGTAAGGCCCCCTTCTACGTTCAGGCTCGCATTAACTCCTTTCATGGGTGGTGTTTTCACTACTTCCATTTTAGCCAATAAAAGTGAGAACTTCTGAAGTTACTGATTGTCCCTTTGGAACTCGGGGCACAAACCTGGCCATTTTCGGAGACAAAGGGCTTCATCCCTGTAGCTAGCAGTGACTGGTAGGGAGGAGAGGAATGAGATAAAAATAGAAGTGGAGAGAAGTGTTAAGTAGAAAGTAAAAGACACAGCAGCTTCAGCATTGTTAAGGACCTGAAACTCTGGAGTGGGGCAGCTACATCTCCCAGACTGTCCCTGTCCTCAGTGGACAAAGCGATATGTCTCTGACAAAGCTCTGGCCAAAGTCACCCTTTCATGCCAATATGACTGTTCTTACTTGTTACCATGACTGTGATGATTTGACCACTAACCTTTGCTTGAGCACTTAGTAGGTGTCTGGCACTTGGCTAAGATGTGACATCCATCCTCACAAGAAGCCTTTAAGTTAAAACCTTGGCCTCTGGAGCTGCACTCTGGGTTGGAAAACTGGCCTCTTGGAGCTGTGTGACTTAAGGCAAATTAAATCTCTCTCTGAGCCTCAATTTCCTCATCTCTCTAAAATAGGCATAGTAATATACCTATCTCTCAGGATCAGAACGGTTCTATAATAGTATGCTTATCAAGGGTAGAAAGTAAGCAGTTATTAACAATGTCACATTATTAATCACTATTGATACTAGCACCAGGAAGACAAAGCTTCTGATAGTCATTCTACCCAAGGTCACAGAGCTGAACCATGTTGGCTAAATTGGTGGGATAAGTCCAGGAGTGTTTGGGCCTCCGGGCTTCAGGGCCCAGAGCTGGGGTGGCATGGCAGGGGCTACTGGACAGGGGCCCAAGCCGCCTGGTGGGTGCTCCAAGCGGCCTCCAGGACCCAGACCCATTTTCTGAGGCTCGGACTGGCCGGAGACTCACACTGCTGTTACCTGCCAGGCGGGATGCGGCGGATCCTCAGCCCCGCGAGGCCGTCTCGCCTAGCGACAAGTAGCGATGACCGGCCAGCTGCTCTCACCTCGGCTGGGAACCGATCCCATGCCAACCCTTGAAGCACAGGCCCAAGCGCGCCTTCCGGGAGCCGCGGGGCACGCCGGGAGCCGGTCCGCGCAGCCAATCCCCACGCGGGGGCAGGTGGCAGTTGCCCGGCAATGGCGGGGGCGCCCAGGCGAGGGCGCGAGGCCTGTAAGGCTGGGCGGGCAAGTGTGGAAGCCGGAGAGGTAGGTGACCTGCAGATCCCAGAGGAGTCTGCTTTTCCAGTCCCCAGTTCCTTCCCTCCTACCTGGACTTGAAGGAAAGAGATTATCAAGACAAATGATAAGAAGCAAGAATAAACCATGGGAACTAATAAAAAGATATTCATATTGATTGATCACGTACTGTGGGCCTGGCTCTTCACAGGGGTTATTTCATTTGATCCTCATTTGATCTTGCAGGGAAAGTACGATTACTGGCCTCATTTTGTAAATGATTAACCGGAGGTTTAGACAGATTAGGCACCTTGCCCAAAGTAACTCAGCTAGAGAGTAGCAAAGCTGGAATTTGAACCGGGTGGTCCTGAACCCAGGTGGTCTGTGTTCTTACTGAGTCAAGCAGTGGACACCCATTTCAATTCACCGACAGAAGCTGCTATAGGCCTACCTGCAGGGGCCAATCCAGGCTTTCTGGGTCCTGAAACTTAGACAATTGGGGGGCCCTCTTTAGGAAAAAGAATAACAAATTGCAAATATAAAATCAGGTAGAAAAGAAACTTGTTTAGAACGTAAACAAAACACTGGCTAATTTTACAGAAACACCTGACCATGTGAGTGTGTTGCTAGGGCCCTACACAAAGGCATCCCTGACCCTTAGCTCCCACTGAAGTCCTTTGTTCAGACGTCAAACTACCTTGCAGGCTTCTCTGCCCTTTCCCTGACTACCCTGCATCCCAGCCACAGGCCCTCCCTTGGCTGGGCCCTGGCAATGGGGTTTAGTAGGGCTTCTCTGGCTGTGGCAGCAAGCTTGGCCTGCCCAGTGAGCAAGCTGAAGTGCTAGAGAGTTAACGCCCTTGGTTGGAAGCAGCCCTCAAACACTGATGGACCCAGAACTGGTAACCGTTGGCAGTCAAGTAGGATCACGCTAAGAAATCTTTTATACCAGTGGTTCTTAGGGTGTGGCCCTGCAGCCCTTAACCTGTTAGAAATGCACACTCTCAGATCCCACCCTACACCTACACCTACTGAATCAGAAACTCTGGGTGGTGGGGCCCAGCAGTTGGTGTTTTAACAAGCTCTCCTAGAGAGCCTGATGCACGCTCAAGTTTGAGAGCCACTGTTCTACCACACTGTTTCCCAGAGTTCCCTGTGGCCTGGAGCTCCCGTGTCTACAATGGTAACCTGCTCAATAATACACCTTTTTTTTTTGTCTCCTTCCTTTGCTTGTCTCATTTCCTCACTCTTCAACTGGGGCTTCCTAGGATCATCTCCAATAAACTACCTGCACTTGAACCCTTGTCTCAGGTCTGCTTCTAGAGGAACACCAGCGCAGGTGAGAACAGGAGGAGGTGTCACTGCCCAGTAAGGCGGAGGATGGTGGCTGGCACCCACTGGATGGAGGCTGAATGTTCTGCTAAATGCTTTGCTTTCATTGTCTCATTCCCCACCCCACCCCTCCATGAGGAAATTGGGGTCGGAGGATTTAAGTGGCTTTGAACCCAAAGATTTGAACCCAGTTCTGCTTGAGTCCCAACGGTGAGCTCCTTACGCACAAGGGTAGAGGGCCAGCCCACGTTATGTTCACCTGTCACTGCTGCTCTTCTCAGGGCAGTCAGGAGTTCAATTTTGTCACGAGACCTGCTACAGTCTCCGACCTTTGGGCACAGCCAGAGTGCCCACCGTGGGACGCTGAGATGATGTGTGCACTGGCCTCACGGAGGGCACAGCTGGAGAGGCTCCCTCACTCCAGTGCTGAGGTCCCTTGGGTCCAAGGCTGGTCCCTACGCCTTCCAGCCCGCTGCTGTGCCCAAGCATGTGCCCTTAACTCAGAGCTGGAGGCTTTTCTGTCACAGATACTGACATCTGGCCAGCTCTGCAGCTGAGGGTCCTACTTGTGGGGGCGGTGGGGAAGGGTGTGTGCAGACCCTTGAACTCTGCATCCTCTGATGTTAGAGGCCCTAGGCCGCTTGGTTCTGCACATTTCCAGGAAACTACAGCTCTCACTCCCATGTCGCCTGCCCTAGCCCTCTAGGCTTGTACCCTCAAGAGGAATGGCCTTGCCTTCTCTAGGCCCACAGCACCTGAGGTCCCAGCTGTCTTTCTTGTTAACAGTTTCTCTCCACTCCCTCTACCTGTGATCCAGGAAGGATGGCTGTGTTAACAGGTGTGGGGTAGATGGGGTAGATGGGGAGATGCCGATGAGAGCACAGAGTCTTTGGCTCTGCTGCTGACTTTGGGCGAGTCTTTTTTTAACTCCCTTTTTTAGCCTTGTTTTTCTCATCTGTAAAGTGGGGAGCCCACCTCCCCTCCCTCGAGGTTGTTCTAATGACGCTCACAGGAGATAGCAATGCACACATATGACACAGGCATGAGCAGTGGTGGGTGCAGTCTGCACCTGGGGCCTCCTGTTCCTTCCATCACAACGAGGAGGGACCTGGGGGCTGGTCTTGTGTTCTCCAGGACCCTGGTCTGCCAGAAGGCTGCCGGTGATGCCCAAAAGGCAGAGCTCTCCCCAGGACACTGCCAGCCCTCCCTTCAGGGTGGAAGAGACAGAAAGTCTTACTTGGGCAATCACTAGCTTGAGGATGTCTCAATGCCTCACCCTGCCAAAAACAGACACCTGGCTCTCCAGTTGAAATCAGGTCCCTCTATAATAATTTCTCACCACATATTTGTTTTTCCTTTGTGGCAGTTATAATGAATTATAATTATTTATCTGACTATTTTTAGACTTTAAAAAAAATTTATTTTGTTTTATTTTTGGCTGCATTGGGTCTTCGTTGCTGCGTGCAGGCTTTCTCTAGTTGCGGTGAGCAAGAGATACTCTTGGTTGCGGTGCACGGGCTTCTCATTGTTGCGGCTTCTCTTGTTGCAGAGCACAGGCTCTAGGTGCACAGGCTTCAGTAGTTGTGGCGCACAGGCTTCAGTAGTTGTGGCACACGGGCTCAGTAGTTGTGGCACACAGGCTTAGTTGCTCTGCGGCATGTGGGATCTTCCTGGACCAGGGTTCAAACCTGTGTCCCTTGTGTTGGCAGGTGAATTCTTAACCACTGTGCCACCAGGGAAGCCCTAGACTTTTTTTAAAATGGAAAATTGTGAACAATTACGAACGAAAGCGGAATAGTACATAGACCTCATGAACCCATCACCCAGCTTCAACAATTTGCCAACTCGGTGCCGGTCTTTTTTTTACCTCTACCTGCACTCACTCCCCCTCCCTGTATTAATCTGAGGCATCATATCATTTCATCTATAAATATTTTGGTAGGTATCTCTGAATGATTAGGGCTCTTTTATGAAATATAACCACAGTGCCATTATTACACTTAAAAAGATGAGCAACAATTTCTTGCTATGTGATTATTGTTAAATGTTTGTGTCCCTCCACCAGGCTGGGGGCTTCATGAGAGCTTTCTCTCTTGTTCTTGGCTGTATCCATAGTGCCTGAGAGCTAGCAGACTCTTAGTATTTGTCAGATGGATGGATGGATGGATGGACGGACGGGAGAAAGGCAAAGGATGCTGGGGACCCACCTTGTTTTCTGTGGATGCGGCTTCATCCCTTCAACACTGCGGTGTGATCGCTGCCTGGGAGGCCCACAGTCACATACTCCCTCTGACGTGAGCAACACCGTAAAACTCTCTCAGTTTCTTTCCCTCTCAACCTGCCTTCGGCTTAATCGGGCAGCAAGGCACTAATCCTCTCCTCATGGCTGCAGCCCGCTCCCCCTGTGCAGCTAATTCCACCTTCCGACTTAATTATCATCCTTAGTGCTTTCACTAAGGGGCTTTGCATCTTCAGAGCCCCACTCAGGCATTAGCTGATTACTGTAATCTGTCTGACTCCCAAGGCAGCAGCCAGGATGGCACGGGAAGCACAGGGCTTCCTTCATTCTCTTGGAGTCTCAGTTTCCTCATCTGTAAAATTGGGTGAGTGGACCTAACTGGCATTGGTATGGGGAGTAAGGAAAATGAAGTAAATAAGGTGCCTGTTCCCTGACACATCAGAGGCACTCAGGAATGATGATCATTTCCCAGCATAATTCAAGGAATAACTCTCACTGGAGAGCCAAACAGATCTGGATTTGAATCCAGCTTTTGCCACTTAAAGGGAAAATTTTCTGAGCCTCAATTTTCCCATCCTTACAATGGGGATGATGGTGCCAACCTTTCAGAGTTTGCTAAAAAGGATGAAAAGACATGATGTGTGTCTGTGAGGCACTGGGCAGAGTGCTGGGCACCTAGTAAATGCTAAATAAGTGCTGGTGGTTACTTCTCTTCCCAGAAAGAGGTGGAGGCAGGGGAAGGAGAGGGAGGCTGCGGGGCCCCTGGGCAGGTACGGATCACATCTTTTCTCCTCTGTTCCCTAAGGTGTATAGTCAAAGGAGGATGCCTGTTGCACTCACCATTGTATCCCCAGCCCTTTGCCTAGCTGTGTGCTTAGTAATGAATAAGTGAATGAATTTGGTGAGGTGGGGATGTGAATAACACATCTGAACAGGACTGGATAGTTTCTAGAGGACTCAAGATCTTTATCACACAACCAGAGAAGGTAAGCAGGCCAAGGATTATACCCACATGTTACAGATGAAGAAACTGAGGCTCAGGGAGATCAACACTGGGTCTGTAAGTGTTAACAGCTGGGGTTAATTCCACTCCAGTTTGGCTCTTTCAGGAAGAGTGTGCCAAGCATTGGCCTCAGGAAGAGTTGGGCCTCTGTCTTAGGTGGAGTTACAGGTCTTTCCAAGATTGTCTAAAGCTGCAGGGATTCTGCCTGCTATGGCTTCTTCCTCCCACTGTGCCTGGTACGGCCTGTATCCCAGTGCACTTGTTTTTTTTTAAATTTTCTGGTTGTCTTCATTAGATAAGTTTTTTCCCTCTTTTTCTTTTTTTAATTGAGACATAATTGACATCCAAGTGCACTTGTTTTTAATTACTGACAGTTTCAGCTTCAGGGCTGCCACGAAGCCCTGAAGGCTACACACTGCGCAACTGCAGGGGATCGATGCCGTTCACCAGGACAGCAATGAACCACCAAGAGGTGAACCCCACTGTGAAGCCAGAGGTGGCCTTAGGAGGAGATGGGGGACCCTCCCCGTGTACTGGCTGGACTTTGGTCAGGAACTCAGCTGCAGGAACCAGGGCTTCTGGGAACTCCCTGGTCTGTGCTTGTAGGCAGGGTCAACGTTTGGAGTGTGGACATCCAGGGGCTGATCTCCACCCTTCTTAGAGATAAGGGTAGGAAAGCCCTGGACCCCGAACCCTAGCTTTAAAACTTGAGGTAGTTTAGGAAAGGGAGAAAGACTCAACCCAGTACTGGATATACTATATTACATATATAAGTAATAACTTAATCTTGATAATAAAACTCTTTGAATAGGCATCATCCACCCATTTTACAGATGACTTAACTGGACACATGGAAGTTAATTAACTTGCCCAAAGGGTCACACAGCAAGGAAGTGCAGAGCTGGGATTCAAACTCCAGGCCCCGCTATGTTACCTCTGGTTGTAACCTGCATTTTACAAGGGAGGTAGCTGAGGCCCAAAGAGCGGCAGTGACTTACCCAGGGTCACACAGCCAGCTAGTGACTGAGTAGATACTGAACCCAAGAATCTGGACTCTCAGTCCCAAAACGAGCCCATAAGGGTGCCTGGCCCGTCAATTAATATATATATATATTTTAAATGAATTTATTTATTTAATTTTGGCTGCGTTGGGTCTTCGTTGTTGCACGTGGGGTGGGCTTTCTCTAGTTGCGGGGAGCGGGGGGCTACTCTTTGTTGCCTTGCGTGGGCTTCTCATTACGGTGGCTTCTCTTGTTGCAGAGCACGGGCTCTAGGCGCGCAGGCTTCAGTAGTTGTGACTCGTGGGCTCTAGAGCACAGGCTCAGTAGTTGTGGCGCACAGGTTTAGTTGCCCCACAGCATGTGGGATCTTCCCAGACCAGGGCTCGAACCCGTGCCCCCTGCATTGGCAGGCGGATTCCTAACCACTGCGCCACCAGGGAAGCCCTCAATTAATATTTTTGATAAAAACAAGTCTAGGGAGAGACCTAGGATGCCTGGGACAGGAATGCTGGGGGATGGGGCGTGTGTGGAGCAGATGGTGAAGGACAAGCACCAAGCTCCCGCGCTTTTGGCTCCGGTCTCTCTAAAAAGAGAGCCTGTGTTCCCTCCATTTCAGGACTGCGAGCGGGGTCCCGTAGAGTGAGAGGTGCTGCACCAAACTCGGCCTCTAGGTGGCGCCCGTACCGCAGATCTGGATTCCCTTGGAGCGCCGGGCCCTAGGGAACTGGTCTGTCCCTGGGGGCTGGTCTGTCCCCAGAGTTTTCACTACGCCCTGGGCAACAGCTCCCTTTACCCTCCTCCAGGCTACTTCTGTCCTGGCTTTGGCAGCGAAGGATTGGCAGGGCCCAGACTGGGAGCTCATGCCTCAACTCAGTCCTCACTTACAAGCCCTCTGCAGGGCCCTGGGTGAGAACCTTCAGAGGGACCTGCGGTCATCCAGACGCTTCCCTTCTGCTGGACCTTGGGCAGTTTGCTCAACCTCCTTGAGCCTCACTTTCCTCATCTGTAGAGTGGAAGTGGGTTTTATTGCCAAGATATTGAGAGGATCAGGTGGAACGTTTTATAAAATGCCTGGCCCCTTGCAGGTGCTCAGCAGATGGGAACTATTAAGGGTTGTTCCATGGACGGTGGCTGCCTGCTGTTACTTCTGCCTGGCCGCTATTTCTTCTTTGTCTTTCTCAGCTCGCAATGCCAGTCCATCGTACCACACCTTACCTGTCACCATCAGCCTCTTAACCCGGCCCTTGTGGACCTGGTACCTCCTCGGAGACGATGTAGAGTGGCAATTAAGCAGAAAGCTCTGAAGTCTTGCTAGCTGGGTTCACATCCTTGACTCCAGCACCTCCTGTGTGGCTTCGGTCAAGTTCCTTAGCTTCAGTGCTGCAGGTTCTTGGTGCTCATCCACTACACGTTCCAGGGTCCCTGTAGTCAGGTTGGAGCCATGTGACTGACTAGTTCCCGCTGGAGAAGTGGAATCAGGAGTGATGTGCGTGTCACTCTAGGAAAGGTGGTTAAGAGCCTGTGGACCTCCTCCATCCCTGTCTTGCCCTGTCGTGGTGGCCTGTGTTTGGCCACAGGGGTATGTGTTTGTGTTGCAATGCCCCACAGGGCTATTGTGTTAGAGTATAGCTCTAAGATGGAAGCGCCCTGAGTCCCCAAGTCACCCTCAGAGGAAAGCCATCCCACCAGCCTTACACGGTATGTGAGCAAGAAGTAACTTTTTATTGCCACGGAGATTTCAGAATTTGTTTGTACTACACCATGGCCCAGTTTAACTTCACTGATACAGCCTTCCTTTGCCTCAGTTTTCTCATCAGTGAAATGGAGACAATAATAGTGCCATTCTCATAGAGTCGTTGTGAGGATTAAGTGAGATTGTGGGTGTAACCCCCTTAAGATGTAAAATTTTCGTTTTTATTACTTCTTAGGAAGGTACAGAAAAGCACGAAATGACTTTAGATTCTCAGAGCAGGAGGAACCCTGGGAGGACCTAGAACTCACTCCTCATGGTTAGATGAGGAGACAGAGGCTCGGGGGAGAAATACCTTGTTCAAGGCCATTCAGGCAGAACACGGCAGAGTCAGGGCTGAATCCTGGGTCTTCAGATCTCTGTTTGGAACTCCTCCAGATACACCTTGGTCTCTGCTCTCTGGGCGCTTATGATTTTATTGGAAACAAGACAGACAGACATAAGACAAAACGATCACTGAAGGTTCCATACGGGAGTTGTCCAGAGAGTGAGGGTCCTGAGGAGCAGAGGACTTCCTGGCCGTCCAGGAGGTGGGCAGGGAAGGCTTCTGGGAGATGGTGGGGCTTGGAAAACGGGCTTCAGCAGAGAGCAGGGAGGGCAGTGGGCAATGGCAGGAGAGAGGACAGGGTGAGCCTAGGCCAGGGGATGGGGAGGTCTGAAGAGCAGAGTGAGTGGCCCATAGAACAGATGAGTCAAAGCGTGGTCTGTTTAACCAGTCTCCTGTTGAGGAGACGTAGCTCCCCCAATGCTCCCCTTCCCCCCGTTATAAAGGGTGCCGCACTAATCAGCCTTGTGCCCACCTCTGTGTATTTTGCCAGCTGAGATAGAGGCTATGTCGGGAAGAGAGGTTGGGATGACTCCCAAAGGTATGCTGGGCCTGATTTCTTAGGGTGAGAGGCTTGGGGGCTTTGAATGCCACCCTGATGCTTCCCCTTAATTCTTCATGTCAGGCGACGTGAAAATGGGAACAAGCTCTTTTCTGGGGTAGTTTGACTGCAATAGGGCCCAGAGGTGGGAGGCGGGGCCAGCTGCCTCCCTCTTTACAGGACATTGGGTTTTCTGGTGTGTGACTAATGGGGCCAGGGTTGGGGCTCAGACCTTGGGGACGGCAGCTCTTGCTTATTGTCCCCCCAGTCCAGGCTGTGGACGTGCCCAGGGGCGTTGCCTTCTCTCTGCCCCACAGTCTGCAGCCAGGGCGGGTTCTGTGGGTGGCACACAGGGCCCACTTTGGAAGGGCCCAACCCCGTTTGAAGCTCTGTCACCACCCTTCCATGGAATGCATGCTGGCAGATTAACAAGAG